ATAATGATGAGATATTGTCCGCTTTGGGTCTAAGCCCTCGCAGTTTTGCTTTTGGTCATTACTCAAAAGGTCTCTCGATTATTGAAGTATGTTTGTATCATATAAGTTATTATTTCTTGTCTTATTTTATCGATGAGGGAGTTGTTTGTATCTCAACATATTTTAATAATTGTTTTTGTATAATATCAAATATCTATGGTTCAAAAGTTACACAGTGTTTCTCTTTTGAAACTAGAGATACTATTTCTCCACTGCAAAAGAAGTGATGCGCATGAATGGCACAACAAAGTCCTTTGTAGCTAATCATGTAGCTGAAACTACTGCTGGAGTTGTGACAATAAGAGCCTTTGAAGAAGAAGATCGTTTCTTTGAGAAGAATCTTGATTTAATTGACATCAATGCTAGTCCTTTCTTCCATAGTTTTGCCTCAAATGAGTGGCTGATCCAAAGATTAGAAATAGTTAGTGCAGTACTTCTTGCCTCCACAGCACTATGCATGGTTATGCTTCCACCTGGGACTTTTGCCTCTGGTGAGACTTTGGTCATTGTTACATGTGAAATGCATGACTTTGAGCATTACAATTATCTTCAAATTATTTGCTTTTATCGTCAAACAGTGCCATTATATCTCTTGATGGAAGATTCTTAATTTTTAATCCTTTGTTCTAGGATTCATTGGCATGGCTCTCTCTTATGGCCTTACTAAATGCTCAGCTAGTATTTTCAATTCAAAGTCAATGCAATCTTGCAAATTACATAATCTCTGTAGAGAGGCTGAATCAATATATGCATATACCAAGTGAGGCACAAGAAGTAATTGAAGGAAATCGTCCACCTTCGAATTGGCCAGACGTTGGTAAAGTAGAACTAAATGACTTGCAGGTAATTGGTACTTATTTAAAAGGTTTATTGCAACTTTTGCTATCCAACCACTATTTTGTGAATTTTACCACTCCACTTTTAAATCGCACATTTTTCTACTCAACTTTCAAATTTTCGAGCATTCTGTCATGCCTTTAATTAATCATCTATTGCATTAGTTGACCATTAACGTGAAATGTTGACTGTTGACATGATACATTGATATATGTCATTAATTATTGATGTGACACTCACATTATGTCATATCATCTTTTATATCCTACATCAATAATTCACGTAATCAATTAACATGTTATGTCAATCAATGTGTCACACCAATATTCAATTAATAACATTAGACGGTCAACTAATAGAAAGGCAAAATGTACGAAATTTTGAAAATTGGATTGAAAAATGTGCATTTCAAAAGTTAGGTGATAAAATTTGTAAAATTGTGAAACTCGGGTGGCAAAAAGTGCAATTAATCCTATTTAAAATGTATATCATAATGTTGAAAAATGACCTTTCAAATGAACTGCATATATAATTTGGCTGTTTATTCCAAGACAGATACGATACAGGCCTGATGGACCACTTATACTCCATGGAATCACATGCACATTCAAAGCAGGCCACAAGATTGGAATTGTTGGCAGGACAGGCAGTGGGAAGTCCACTCTTATAGCTGCTTTATTTCGTCTTGTGGAGCCAGCAGGTGGAAAAATTGTAGTTGATGGCATAGACATCACTTCTATTGGCCTTCATGATTTGAGGTCACGTTTTGGTGTTATACCTCAGGATCCTACCCTTTTTAATGGGACAGTTAGATTCAATTTGGACCCTCTATCTCAACACTCTGATCAAGACATATGGGAGGTAAAACTTTGTGACATTCTATTTATCTTTGCTTTGCATAGCAAATGTATCCTAATTGTTGCTCAATATGAAGGTTCTCGGGAAGTGTCAGTTGCGAGAAGCTATCCAAGAGAAAGAAGAAGGATTAAACTCATCAGGTACATATTCGTCATTATAGGAACTATGTCACCAATATTAATAATAACTAGTAACAAATTGTTAAACAGTTGTTGAAGATGGATCAAACTGGAGCATGGGACAAAGGCAATTATTTTGTTTGGGGCGTGCGCTTCTAAGGAGAAGTAGGATATTAGTGTTGGATGAAGCAACTGCATCAATCGACAATGCAACTGATTTGATTCTGCAGAAAACCATTAGGACTGAGTTTGCCGATTGTACTGTGATCACAGTAGCACACAGGATACCAACTGTGATGGATTGCACTATGGTTCTTTCAATAAGTGATGGTAAATTGCATTTTTTACAATTGAAAACCCCCTTATCTGGCCCAACAAAAATTTTTCAGACTAATTCATAACTCTGTTTTCATTTTCTTATGTTAATACCTAATCAAACTATACTTTCCTCAATATGAGGACAAGTTAAAGAGTGCAAATAGTGCAGTTCATATATTCCTAACTGGAATTCTATAGCACTTGGTTTGACACACACCATATATAGCCATGTTGTTTGGAAGAGGACATTCACCTAGTAAAAGGCTAATATAATAAACATTAAGGTAGTTGATTTAATGATACCAAGTAAACTATGATGTACTTGATTTTCAGAGTTTTCTTAGAAAAAAAAAGTGTATATTTTATCATTTACTTGTTTTCTTCATTGAAATGTATACTTTTCTTGACAGGCAAATTAGTGGAGTATGATGAACCAATGAGCTTGATGAAGAATGAAGGATCGCTATTCAAGCAGCTTGTCAATGAATCTGGTCTCATTTTCAATCTGCAGAATCACATTAATGCTGCAAAATGTTGCTTTTTTGACAACTTTGTTGTCTATCTTACCTAGTAAAAGGGTATTATAATAAAGAATAAGGTTGTGTATGAGCTGCATTGGAAGATTTTCTTAGGCAAGTCCTTACTAATGAAATGGTTTATAATCGTCGGATTATGAGATTCACATTGCAATACGCTATTCGCTACTTCTAGATGTGTGATGTAACTATCAAATATACAATCATATTTGTCGACTTCAATTTTAAAACGTACTCGTTAAGGATCTAAAATCATTTCGGTCAGAGTTGTGCAATAAGAAAATGTTAAGAACAGTACCATTAGAATCATTAGAATTGATGAGTTAAATGACCCTTAAAAGAACCTTAGAAATACGTTTCCAAATAAATACAAACTAGACCTTCATTTATGCGTTTATGCTTGCTTTAAATACATGATTAAATTCCACGTGATTTCTTCAAAATTCACACTAACACATGCCTTTTTAAAGCCCATAGGGATACACGTATTTTAATCGATTAAAAACAAAGTTACTGTAGAAAGTAAAATGGTAGAGATTATTTTTTGGTAGAAAATAAAATGGTAGAGATTATTTTTTTGGGGAAGTATATACTCCTATACCATAAATTAGTATTTACAAATATTAAAGAAAATTATTTTTCTTACTTAATTATAAGATTTTCAGCATGTTTAATTTGACTCCCGATAGTTATGAGTTGGTATCTTTTATGTACTATTTGTACTCTTCTAAAAAAAAAAACTTCATATACTCGATTATTATCGCTCAGCATACCTGAAAAGTTGATCAGCATTGACATCTACCATGAAATGGGGATAAATACAATCTTAAAGCAACAAGATGATGGTGATGAACACAAAATTTTTTAAATACATCCAAATATTTGGCCTACTTATAAGCACGTGCGAGATCTAAAAAGAGTAGGGATTCGAGTGATACCAAATTCCTCAGCCGAAGACGCATATGCATATGGAATGGCATTCATTTCACGTCTAAGTTGTTTAGTGGGGAATTGAGACTCCCAATACAAACCCAGAGGTGGCTGACCACTGGATCTGTGAGCTAGAGAAGATCTTCACTGTGTCGGGATGTTCTCAGGAGAGGAGGCTGACATATACTGTCTACATGCTGGTTGGGGAGGCTGAACATTGGTGGAGAGGCACCCACCATATGTTGGTTGCTCGAGGAGTGACTGTTGACTGGGAGTGCTTCAAGAGGGTGTTTCTTGAGAAGTACTTTCCGGAAAGCGTGAGGCACGCCAAGGAGGCTGAAATCATGCGGTTGCACCAGGGTGGGATGTTTGTATCCAATTATGCGATGAGATTGGTGATTTTTTAGGCTTGAAAATGCAGGACGTTTGCTGAGGGTCTGAAGCAAGAGCTGAAGAGGGTGGTGGTGCCTATAGCCATCACTGAGTTTCTGGCCTTAGTTGAGAAGGCGAAGGTTATTTAGCGGTTGGAAGGTGGCAACCGTGTGATTAAGACTGCTGAGGGACCAGCTAGGTCCAAGAAAGGTGGAGGTCAGAGGAAGCCATATGATAGGCCCCAACCACAGCAAGGGGGTCTTGTCATAAGGCAACCTGCTGATGTTGCTAGAGGAAGGAAACAGGGTGGAGGTGCCACTCTCAGATGCTACAGGTGTGCTAGACCCCATTTTGTTCAGGATTGTCCTCACACGGAGAACCGGTGTTTCAGCTGCCATCAGATGGGTCACGAGTCGACCAACTGTCCCGCCAGAAATAGACCGGATAGGGGTGCTTAGAGAGGCGATAGACCTGCTGCTACTGGGAGGGTGTTCACCTTGGCTGGGGCTGAAGCTTCTACTTCTTCTGACCTTGCGAAGGGGAAGCGTAAAGCCGCTGGTAAGGATGTGATGATTCTGTTTGACTCTGGATCTTTTCATTCCTTTATTTCTTATGCATGTGCTGCTATGCTGCGTGTGTCGGTGTGTGCTTTGGGGTTGAGACTGCTAGGGTCGACGCCCACTTCTACTTCTGTAGTTGCTTCTGAGCTGTGTGTTGGTTGTCCTATTATTGTGAATGAGAAGAGGTACAAGGTGAACTTGATCTGTTTGCCTTTGGTGGATATTGACATAATCTTAGGGATGAATTGGTTATCTGCCAATCGTATCTTTATAGATTGTGCTAATAGGAGGTAGATCTTTCTTCAGGTGGAGGATGAGCTATTGATTTCAGCTGGCCAAGCTGAATCATTGATGAGAGGTGGAGCAGACTGCTGTATTTTGCTTGCTTCTTTGAGTGTGGAGACCGAGAGGGTCATTGCTGAGATAGATGTGGTGAAGGAGTTTGCTGAGGTGTTTCTTGATGAGGTGCCTAGGTTGTGATGGAACTACTTGGAGAAGATTGATGTTTCTTCAAGTTGAACCATGCGAAGTCCCTTTTTCTCTTGAGGTTCTTCATGCCAATGGAAGATTTGGATGAATAATTTCAGGTACCTGAGTTTCTTCTGGAACTAGAATATTAGTTATGTCATAGGAATATTTTTGAGTTTATACATCCTCAATTTGGTCATTTTGCTCTTTAGCTCCCTTTTTTATTCGAGGATTCTTATCCTTTGAACCAATTGGTCTATCACGCTTCAGGCGTATTTGTGAATCGTTTGTATTATTAAATTGTCCAACAGGGACTTCGACTCTTATTGGAGCATTAGCCGCTGGTACATATGACTTAGTCACCCTTTTTGTATCTGTGAATACATTTGGTAATTGGTTGGCTAGATTTTGCAACTGAATTATCTTTTGAACTTCTAGTTCACATTGTTTTGTACGAGGATCAAAATGAGATAGTGATAATTCATTCCAACTAATATCTTTTTCTAGCTATTTGTGTTCTCCCCCTGATGTTGGGAAAATCAACTCATTAAAAGAATGAAATGTGAATTCACCAGCATTATCCAAACAAATTTTCTTAATTGGATAGTCAGGAAAATGAGCTCTTAATCTAATTAGTTGAACTAATAATCTCGCAAATGCTTGGATGCGAGTTGATAATAAACAAACATGTGATCATCTTGTTGACGCATCAATTAAAATCATCTAAATAGTCCACATGGGGGGTGTATTGGTCCACAAATATAACCTTGTATCCCTTCTAAAAATAAGATAGATTCATCCCCAATTTTTGCTGGTGATGATCTGATTATTAACTTCCCTTGGGAACAAGCAGTACATGAAAAAAATATTTGATTGAAGAATCTCCTGGCTCTTCAATAAATGTCCACATGAATTTTCAATTACTTTTCGCATCATGATAGTCTTAGGGTGACCCAACTGATCATGCCAAACCTCAAATTTATTTTGATTTGTAAACTTCTGGTTTACAATAGTATGTGTTTCAATTGTATTAATATACGTGCAATACAGTTCATAGGAAAACGTAAATAATTTTTCCAATACTTCCTTTTTATTCAAGTGGAGTTTCATGACATAAAGATATTCTACATTTTCTTCATTGTTTGTTTTAATATGAAACTCATTTAAACGAATATCCTTGAAACTCAATAAGTTTCTGTAAGATAGAAAAATATAATGCATTTTTAATATGCAACTTCGTGTCTTTCAGTAATAATATATTAGCTCTTCTGGAGCCTTCAATTATATTTGTCGTACCACGTAACATTAACTTCTCGCATTATCGAATATGAGAAGACAAAAATTAATACATTAGAACATTCACTTCAGGGAATGAAATAATGTTAGTTAAAATGGTCTCTTGCATAAAAAAAAATCTCAATATTTTGTTTTAGTTTTCAAGAGACAATAAACCAACTAAGGATATTTCTTAATCCTTTTTTATATAAAAAAATATTGCTACTTCTAGAGCAAAATAGATGTATGAAAAATATAATACATTTTTCAAATTGAGAAATCATTATAAAAATGACATTCTTGTTGTGTATCTTTAGACATCAATTTAATATCAAAATTTACACTAATTTTTTTTATATCATCTCATCTATATTATTTACAAATAAATGCTTCATACAAAAAATATTAAAAACATATCTCACTAACACTTTATTTTATCATTTTAGGAAATGAAGGATACAACACAATCATATATTCATTTGGAAAAAAAAAATTTATAACTTGTTTATGACTTTCTTTATATAAAAAAAACAAGTGAGTCTTTCTAATTATACTTATTAAAAAAATATAATAAAAAGATATTTATGTCATTGCTAGGTTGACTTTAAGGAGAGAAAAAAATAATGCTAAAAATTAGGAAAATTATTCTCCTTATAAATGTTATATAGAAAAATTAAGGAAATAAACATTGATCATAATTTCATTAAATTCTAGTATTTTTGTACAAATCACAATCAAATTATAACGTAATGATATCTCCATCAATTAAAATAATAGACGCATAACATTATGAAAACAAATAATACCAATTTTATCAATAAGATTTGAAACTAAACTCTTTAAGATTCAATGATGTAACACATAAGTGTCTCAAATATCATTTAACATTATAATTATGACATTTACAAAATTATTCCACTTCCGGTGATGACCTCATTTATATCAAAGAATCAAATAAAATTAATATATTTATATAAAAATTTTTCACTTCTGGTGAAATTTATTTTATTTTTCACTTTTTATATTATTTTCTCACTTCCGGTGAGGAAAATATTCTTTTATTTTCATTTTTGTACAATTATCTCACTTACAGTGAGAAAATATCCTTTTATTTTCATTGTTGTATAATTATCTCACTTCCGGTGAGAAAATATTCTTTTATTTTCATTGTCATACAATTATCTCACTTCCGGTGAGAAAATATCGTTCTATTTTTCATTTTTGCACAATTATCTCACTTTGGTGAGAAAAAAAAATGCTTACAATTTTTAAATTTGACAATGTCTTCTAGATCATTGCAAAATCATTATATGTGTATATATATAACATTCATGAAGAATTGTACAATTTTACAACGCATATCATTCACGGAGAATCATTCAATTTCAAAAACAAAAAAAACAAAAAACAAAAACAAAATTTGTTCTTTCGGTTTCATTTTTTTTTTTCACCATTTTCCCACTTCTGGTGAGAAAAAAAAAATAAAATAAAAGAGGTTGAACATTCTTCTTTGATATTGTCTTCTAGACAAATTTCAAAAATGTATGAAGAATTTCTTTATTTAATAGTGTCTTCAGGACTACTATAATGTCTTCAGGAGTATTTGATTCATAACAATGTAAACA